ACGATCTCTGCCCGCAGGGGACCTTCCGGGTCCTACTGACATAGAAAAGAACTGAGAGAAAGACACAAGACACTTGGTCTTTAATTCAGTTACCTTCCAAATTGTGCATTAATAGTATTTCTCCCTTTCGGTGGTTTTTATGGAGACATTTTCCCCTATTAGTGAAGATCCGAACTAACCGCCCGCCCAATAGGACTTCTTAGAGGGAGCAGCGGGTCCAAGTCCCTTCAAGCTGCGGCGAAGCCATCGCTCAAGAGCCCACCATCCCCTCGGGGAGCCATTTAAAAAGTGCCCTGAGCATCTCAGCTCCTTCCTGCGGGCGCGCTTCCAGGTCCGAACACCCCGAGACGGAAAGGTGACTCGAGGTGGGGAGGAGGTGCAGGTGCGAGCCCCGGGTCTGCAGAGGAAGTCCACCCGCGAAGTGCAGCCCCTGCACCCGTGGAGTCCCCTGCAAAGGAGGCGCCGCTGCGCTGAGCGCCTGCTTTACTTGTATTTGTAAGCAAGACGAAGCCACTTTCAGCTGAAAATGGCTGGGAGATGTTTAAAAGGGGAAAATTGGGGAGCGGGGGGAACCCGGCCTAGGAAATTTCCTGCAGGCCATTCTAGGGATGCTTGAGGTGTCCTCCAATGGACTGGAGGCTCCCTTGTGCCTTCACTAAAGTTAAAGAAATTTAGGATTTGAAGAAGGAGAAGGAGGAGAAGCAGAAGAAGAAAGGCACAAAGTCCCTTTGGGACGGGAACTTCCCACTCCCACAGGTCTTTTCTCTCCTCCGATAGCCAGCCAGCGGTCCGTCTCTGGCTGTGGCTCCGTCTCTGGCTGTGGCTCCTGTCCGAACCTCCGGGAGCCCCGATGGGTTACAGCCACTGCTGCCCCAAGACCCTGCCGGTCACCCGGGAGCACATGGACGGTCCACGCTTCCCTCACCCGACACCTCCTGTCCTCCTCATCCCTCTTCCTCTCCGAAAACAGGAAAGGGAAGAAAACTGAAAAGCCCCCTTTTGGCCTTCAGTTTTAGGGAGCGCCAGGATTTTACAGTCATTAGTCATGAATGACACAGGACCACCGATAACCTCCGTAAAGAGGGCGCCCGTTTGGGAAGAAACTCTCAGGTAGGGCGGTGCAGTCACCTGCGTTTGTAGAATGTGTTTCTGGGAGGTCTGCAGGCCTGCGATGAGACACACACACACACACACACACACACACACACACACACACTTGGGCAAAATGTCCAAAGGTCACATTTATTCAGCCGGTCACAGATATTTATTGCGCCCCTACGAAGCTATGTGAAACTCTCCTTTTCCTTTTCGGTGTTGCTGTCCAGCCCAGCGCCTGTCCTAGAGCCGGCTTACCTGCCGCTCCTTCCAAAGAGAACTGGTGGTGCCGGGCGCGAAAAGCGGCCGCACCAGGCTCCACGCCCAGTGAAAAATACCAATTACCGAGGAGCGTCTGGGAGCGCGGGGCGCGGGGACCTGAGGTCCCGCCAAGGATTGGGGTCTTTTACCTGCAGGGAGCCGGGCCCTGGAGACTCGGCAGGAGAAGGGGTATGCCCGGCTCTGAGCGTCGCTACAGAAACCAGGTTGCCCAGGGCTCAGATCTTTGGGAGGTTCAGCTGCTCACCCCAACCAAATTCTTCTAGGATGTGCATCCCTGCTGAAAACGGATTCAGACCCGGTCTCCACTTCTGCTAAGGAATTTGGAGGAGGGAGGTTTTGTCTTTAATTCCTCAGGTATGGGGAACCCCATCCACCACACCGCTCACTCCGGTCCCGGGACGCACCACCCCCGCCCTTGCACTGCGTGTTAGCACCGCGTGTTTGCACCGCCCCACAGAGCCGGAGAAACTCGCTCTTCGCCAACAACTCTGGGTTCCTGCCTTGGCGCCCGCGTAGACGCGGAGGGAGATTGGCGTCCCCGGGTGGGGAAATTGAGCCCGGCGCCTGTCCTGGAAAGAGAAGGGGGTGGGGGATCCCAGACCTCGGCTTCCCAAGGTCCCCCTTGGGATCCGCTCGCACCTCCACGCCTCCGCTCCCCGCAGCAGAGCTCGCGGCGCTGGCTCAGGTGCTGGGACCAATACGCGTCCTCGCGTACGTGAGAAGTGCCACCGGCTCCCGGTCGCTTTTCTGACCGGCTTCCTTTTCCTCCCTTGGCCCCACCAGACTGTGGACCCCAGCAGCTTTAGCTCTGGGCAGAAGGCTGTGCCTAGCACTGGGCCAACGGCCTCAGTTTCCCTATCTGTAACCTCAACTCTGAGGAAGTGTTCCTTTGGCCTTGGTTCTATTTGACGCAGGTCCTCAGGTGGGAGCCTAGGAGCGTCTTCCAAAGGCAGGAAGGAGAGGCCAGGGGCGGCCAGGGAAAGTCACACGGGAGCGAACCGAGCCCTGAGTGGGGGAGGGGGGCGGGGGGACGGGGAGTTGGCACCCAGGCCCCTGCAGAAATACAGGACCAACCCACGGGCTAATCGATGATGCCCACGTGTTAGACTCGGCCTGGTCCTGGCACGCCTAGCAGAGGACAGAGCTTGGCACCTGGAAGATGGGGTGGGTGGGGGTGAGGGGTCTTTCTCGCGGTCTTGGTCTCCACGTTGTGTGCAGAATACAAATCTCAGGCATCCGGAACGCTCTTTTTGCCTGTGGATACGCACCTTCTAATTCCCTTAACTGGGCTTCCCAGAAGTGGATGCACACGGGAGGGAATATCGTGTGGAATTTCTGAGGAGATAAATCTCAGCAGCAAAGCGGTTCTGATTGAGTGGAACACACCACGTTCCACCGACACCACCAGTTTTCCTGCAGTTTCTGAGCCAGACAGTTTCTGGGCTTTTGGCGCCCCCTCTGGATGCAGCTAAAAATTGCACTCCATTTTTTAAGTCAACCGATTGTTTATCCTCTTTTCAAAAAGATACAAGAATACAAAATGCCTTCATCAAGCGAACAAAAATGTATACAGTACTGTCATTTACGATTTAAAATGCTGTATATTACTTATATCCTATTATGTAATTGTATTAAAGTATATTTGTATTCGTACGTAATTATCTTGACAGATATTTAGTGAAATATTTCAAACTATCTTCAAGTTACAGTGGTCTTCTCTGCCTTTTATGCCATTAAACATGGGAATTACAATAAAATGCAACTAAATACAGACGTCTTGGTTAAAACCCCTGCCCCAAGTTCTAGTCTCTGAGTCTCCTGCTGGGTCAGGTGTCCCCAAATCACACAGTTATATTCACAAATGTCTCCTTCCAAGGACGGAGAAATCAGTCCATACTACGCGGGACTTTTTCTCCCCCCAAAAGACGAAGTTGGTCTTATACTTTCCCAGTGTATTAAGAGGCCACGAATGCAAGACTATTGTATGGAGATCTCTTAAACACAAATACAAACTCTCAGGTACCAGAGACATCCACTGAGTTACATTTGATTAAAAAGTAAATACTATTTAACAGGGTTGTAACTTACTACTTTCTGAAGAGTGCCCGTTTCCTATAAGAAAGGTCGAGTTTTTCAGGAGAAAATGAGATTTTAAAAAATTCTTCAAGGAAAACAGTCCTTTAAATCTTGTCATAGTGTCCGCAATTTGCAAATTAGAAATAAACAAATCTTTGGGTCGATTCACAATAGCGATAATTCGAATCGAGGCGACTCTTTGCGGGAGCCAGGAAAGGGGAAGCTGAAAATTAAGGGTTTTCCGCGGTTGTACGTTTATTTGTGATTCTGAAGACAAGTAACCCACAAGCGACTAAGGTTTTTCTCCCCCAGAAAAGATACCCAACCAGACTCTGGGCATTTGTGTAAACACAAAGATTGTGCTCAAATCACACTTGAAATACAGCAGACACCCCCACCCCCACCCCCGCAGAACTCCTAGCTGTCTTCGAGTCACAAAAGGACCTGACTAAAGTGAGGACGACGGGCGCTTCGCCTCTCCAGGTGTTTGCAAAGGAGGGCGAAAGCAGGCGAGCAGCGCGACTCCGCCAGAGTGGCCTGTTTTGTCTGCGGTGGTGCCCATTTGTTTGGCCTTTTAGAAACCGAGTGACCGGCCGCAGCCTCGAGGCCCAGGACAGCCACCTTCGCAAAGTTCGATCTCTCAAAAGCCAGAGCAGTTTGCACACTCTTTCCAGGGGCAACGCTGCCGACGTTTTGACTCGGCCAGGAGGTGAAGAGTAGACAGTCAAAGCGGTTGCCCTGTCACTGAAGCGCGTCGGCCGGGTGGGGGATTGCGGGGCCGGGCTGCAGAAGGACTTGTCAGAGTTCAAGGTCGGAGCGGCGCGGGACGGCTCCGCGAGCGCGGGGCTCTGCAGCCGCCGCTGCCAGCCTTCGCGGGGACTTAGCTTTGGGTTTCATTGATTCCCTTTCCAGGAGCGCAGCAGAATCCCGACCAGCCGCACTAGCCCCAGCGAACTAGAGCATGTTAATCTATTTACACGGATTATTACAGAGGGACAGCGGACACTGGGTCACGAAAACATTTGCTTCAAAAGACCATTTCTAAGTACTTTCGGCAGAGGCAGACTCCAGGCGTGTAAACTGGGCTGCACACTATGGAGAGACTGCTTCTCCAGTCTTGTAAACTCCAGCTAAGTCCTCGGTACCGCGGAGAAAGTGGTGAAAAGAAATGCTTGGGGGTGGGGGTAGATCCGAGTCTAGACACACAAGCGCGCGCAAACACACACACATACACGAAGATTCGCGCGGAGACGGCACCTAAATTCTGACATTAGGAGAGTACGGCAAACTTACACACTTAGACGTCCCGGGTCCCCCGCCTTCCCCGCAGCACCCCGCCCCCGCCCCCAGCCCAGCCACCCGACCAGCGGCAGCGCTCCCCTCCCTGCTCCTCCCCTCCCTCCCGTCACCCAGCCCTGTGCCACAATCCTCCCCCCCTCCCCCACATCGGATCCAATCAGCTGCCTGCCAGCCCTCTGATTGGCTGGACGTCTCTAAGGTGAGGGGGAGTATTTATTAAAGAGCCGCTGGGCTGGAAGTCCGAGAGCGGAGAGCGGAGCTTGAAATTGACTGGGAACTTCAGTGGCGCCAAGACTAGCCAGCTTCACCCCAGGAACTTTTCTTTGCAGGAGGAGAAGAGAAGGGGTGCAAACGCCCCCCGCTTTAGCTCTTTCTTCTCCTATTCCTCTCCAATCCGCCTTCCCCCAAGTGAAGCGGGCAGCTGCGGGCTGGCCACCCCGCGCCTTCCTAAGTATTCGCCACCGCAGCCGGGTGACGCGCCAGGCTCCGCGGGAGCCTATCGCTCCGCGTCCGGGCAGCCCAGGGGAGAGGAGCCCGCGCCTCGAGTCCCCGAGCCGCCGCGGCTTCTCGCCTTTCCCGGCCACCCGCCCCCTGCCCCGGGCCCGCGTATGAATCTCCTGGACCCCTTCATGAAGATGACCGAAGAGCAGGAGAAGGGCCTGTCCGGCGCCCCCAGCCCCACCATGTCCGAGGACTCGGCGGGCTCGCCCTGCCCTTCGGGCTCCGGCTCGGACACCGAGAACACGCGGCCCCAGGAGAACACATTCCCCAAGGGCGAGCCTGATCTGAAGAAGGAAAGTGAGGAGGACAAGTTCCCGGTGTGCATCCGTGAGGCCGTCAGCCAGGTACTCAAGGGCTACGACTGGACGCTGGTCCCCATGCCGGTGCGCGTCAACGGCTCGAGCAAGAACAAGCCGCACGTCAAGCGGCCCATGAACGCCTTCATGGTGTGGGCGCAGGCGGCGCGCAGGAAGCTCGCGGACCAGTACCCGCACCTGCACAACGCCGAGCTCAGCAAGACGCTCGGCAAGCTCTGGAGGTAGGGCCGCGGGCAGGGTGGGCTGCGCGGCCGCGGGGGGGGGGGGGGGCTCTGGCGTGGACTCGCTCTCCGCGCCCCGCCTCCCAGCACGGGGGAGTTACGGGTCCCAGAGCAGGCGGGGTGGGGCCGGAGGGGGGTGGGGACGCAGTGTAACTTGGCTCAGTTTGACAAAGTTCTTGGATTGCTCTAGGGAAGGGGAGGGGAGAGGGGGAATAGCCAGAGGGTGGGAGAAGACTCATAGGCCCCGCGGTGGGAGGGGGCTGCCAGCCTGATTCCGCGTTTCTATGAAGTTTAATCCCACATAGGGGTTTGGAGTGGGAAGTGAAGTTTTCTTCTCTCCCCTTCGAACTGCGCTTTTTCGTGTAGCTCTACACCCATGGAGGTGGGACGTAGGGTCGGGGGAGAAACCGAGGCTAGAGGCGCCCCATAGCGGGAAGGGGGTGGAGGAGGGAGGCCACTGGCAGTAGTTGGGGGCAGTGTTAGGGGGTGGGTGGGCAGGAGGAGTTCTCTGCAGATTGAGTAGTTTTTTTGGAGACTTTTTAAAGGGTGTTGGGGACGGGGCCAGGCGGATAACTCCAGTAGCAAAGGCATTTAGAGCAGGAAGAGAGGAGAGCTATTTTCATCTGCAGGGTTTTCAAAATAGAAGAGAAGTGAGAGGGCGGAGCGCGGAGTGACCGCTCAGGTCTGACCAGAAGAGCCGAGATTTTTTTTTTTTTTACTTTTTTTTCTTGAAAAAAGAAAAGTAGCGAGCTGCGGCCGTGGCTGGAGAGCAGAGAGGAGGGAGCACTGGGGTTGTGTGCCGCCCTGACAGCTCCGCGGGTTTCACAACCCCCTCCCCCTTTTCTCTGCGCCCCTCTCCCCCCGCCCCCCCCCCTCCAGACTGCTGAACGAGAGCGAGAAGCGGCCCTTCGTGGAGGAGGCGGAGCGGCTGCGTGTACAGCACAAGAAAGACCACCCGGATTACAAGTACCAGCCTCGGCGCAGGAAGTCGGTGAAGAACGGCCAGGCGGAGGCCGAGGAGGCCACGGAGCAGACGCACATTTCCCCCAACGCCATCTTCAAGGCGCTGCAGGCTGACTCGCCACACTCCTCCTCGGGCATGAGCGAGGTGCACTCCCCCGGCGAGCACTCGGGTGAGTCCCGCCACAGCCCCTAACATAGCCACGGCCCCACCTGGCACACCCCCAGGCCTCCACCTAGTGGGCTCCGTTTAGGGAATTTGCTTTCTCCGGGGAGAGAAGCACCGCCCCCTATGCTGAATCCCCCTCCCCTCCCTGCCCAGTGCCACTCAACACACACACACACACACACACACACACACACACACACGCGCGCGCGCGCGCAATCTGCATCTTAGCTGATTGATTTTAGTGCGAGGTGAAATGCCTTTACAGCTTTACAGGAAGTCTTGGCTCTCCCACCCCAAAAGCACACACAAGACTCTTCTACAAGGAGCGATTTGGTCAAGGGTCCTCCGACCCTCCGCCGATAAAAGGAGACTGCCCAGTGTGTACTGGCGAGTTAATCATTCAGGGTCTCATCTGCAGTACAGCGTGCCTCCGGTGCGGATGCGGGGCCCTAGGACCCTTTAACGGGGAGGGAGGGGTCCGGGAGGGTTCCTAAGACTAGGGCCTTTGCACAGCCCTTGTTGATTTTCGTGTGCTTCTTTCTCGTTTATTGCCTACAGGGCAATCCCAGGGCCCACCAACGCCACCCACCACCCCCAAAACCGACGTGCAGCCGGGCAAGGCTGACCTGAAACGAGAGGGGCGCCCCCTGCCAGAGGGGGGCAGACAGCCCCCCATCGACTTCCGCGATGTGGACATCGGTGAGCTGAGCAGCGACGTCATCTCCAACATCGAAACCTTCGACGTCAACGAATTTGACCAGTACCTGCCACCCAATGGCCACCCGGGAGTGCCGGCCACTCACGGCCAGGTCACATACACCGGCAGCTATGGCATCAGCAGCACCGCGGCGACTCCAGCAAGCGCAGGTCACGTGTGGATGTCCAAGCAGCAGGCGCCGCCGCCTCCACAGCAGCCCCCGCAGGCTCCGCCGGCCCCGCAGGCGCCCCCGCAGCAGCAGCAGGCGGCGCCGCAGCAGCAGCAGCCGGCGCCCCAGCAGCAGCCGGCGCACACGCTGACCACGCTGAGCAGCGAGCCAGGCCAGTCCCAGAGAACGCACATCAAGACCGAGCAGCTGAGCCCCAGCCACTACAGCGAGCAGCAGCAGCACTCGCCGGCGCAGCAGATCGCTTACAGCCCCTTCAACCTTCCGCACTACAGCCCCTCCTACCCGCCCATCACCCGCTCGCAGTACGACTACACAGACCACCAGAACTCCGGCTCCTACTACAGCCACGCGGCCGGCCAGGGCTCGGGCCTCTACTCCACCTTCACCTACATGAACCCGGCGCAGCGGCCCATGTACACCCCCATCGCCGACACATCGGGGGTCCCTTCCATCCCGCAAACCCACAGCCCCCAGCACTGGGAACAGCCCGTCTACACACAGCTCACCAGACCTTGAGGAGACCTTAGACAAAGCGTGATGATCTTAAAAATAACCGAAGAAAGAAAGAACCGACCAGAATTTCCATTGGACATTTTTTTTCCTTCTTCCATAAAGACATTTAAGCTAAAGGCAACTCGTACCCAGATTCCAAGACAGAAACATTAGCTATCCAAACGCACGCCCACCTTGTTGCGAGGCAGTGGTCTGGCCACTCGTGGTTAGATGGACCAGCGGGATCTCGACAGGAGACTGGACTTTGCAAACCTTCTTCGAAGCAAGCACGGAGGATAACGGAGAATCGTGTGACCAATTTGCCCAATCTCTCTGCCTGTTTGGACTTTGTAATTATTTTTTAGCAGTAATTAAAGAAAAAAGTCCTCTGTGAGGAATATTCTCTATTTTAAATATTTTTAGTATGTACTGTGTATGATTCATTACCATTTTGAGGGGATTTATACATATTTTTAGATAAAAATTAAATGCTCTTATTTTTCCAACAGCTAAACTACTTAGTTGAACAGTGTGCCCTAGCTTTTCTTGCAACCAGAGTATTTTTGTACAGATTTGCTTTCTCTTACAAAAAAAAAAGTGTGTTGTTGTATTAACATCACCACCACCACCACCACCCACACACACAGATTTGTCTTATGTGATGAGTTTTGGGGGGTTAGCTTTGCTTAATGCCTCAGGCTTTCTGATTCACGGAGAAGCTGCCTTAGAAAAATAAAAGCCTTATTTTGCAAGTATGGACATACACACGTTAGTCTAGAGAAGCATTTGGTAAGCTTTATCACATATATATTTTTTAAACAAGAGAAAAACACCTTGAGCCTTAAAACCATGCTGCTGAAAAATACTCGAGTGCTCTTTTAGTGCATTTATTTCCTCCTGCGTCTGCTTATTCATTGAAATCTTAAGCAAGAAGCAAAAGGTGAGGAGACGAAGTCTGATTGGGGGATGTCTCAGCAGCCAGTTCAGTGCCCCAGCACACTGCCCCCTGGTTGCCCGCCCGGCCCCATGTGGAAACAGATGTCGAGTCCTCTCACACTGTCACCTGTGCCTCTCTGAATGCCAGCAGTCACCTTCAAGACATTCCACGTGCTGAAATTATTTATTTTGTAAGGAGAGGTTTTAAATAAAAAAAAAACTTCCTTTTTTATCTTTAAAAGGTACCTTCTTTAAAATAGGTTGTTGGAGTCTTCCTCAAAGGGTATGGTCATCTGTTGTTAAATTATGTTCTTAACTGTAACCAGTTTTTTTTATTTATCTCTTTAATCCTCTTTTTTATTATTAAAAGCAAGTTTCTTTGGATTCCTTGTCCTAGATTTGTATAAATGCCTTTTTTGTCCGTCCTTTTTTTTTTCTTCGTTGTTTTTGTTGAAAACAAACTGGAAACTTGTTTCTCTTTTTGTACAAATGAGAGGTTTCAAATGTAGTGTATCACTGAGTCATTTGCAGTGTTTTCTGCCACAGATCGGGCTGCCTAAGTCGTGCGTGTGTGTGTGTCGTGACACAAGACCGTGCAAGCGTGGGGCATCGATGATCCCCCTGCATGTTCTCTTGGAGAGAGGGAGGAAGGGGGGAGGGGTCGGCCCACTGACAGACGAATTCTTAACTCTGTGGCTGGAGAGTTTGAGGATTGCTTTTTAAAAAAGACAGCAAACTTTTTTTTTATTTAAAAAAGATATATTAACAGTTTTAGAAGTCAGTAGAATAAAATCTTAAAGCACTCTTATAATATGGCATCTTTCAATTTCTGTATAAAAGCAGATCTTTTTAAAAAATATTTCTGTAACTTAAAAAAAAACCTGGCATTTAAATCATATTTTGTCTTTAGGTAAGGTTTGGTTTGTGTTTTGTGTTTTGCTTGTTTCCTTGTCCCCCCAACCCCAAACCTTTCTGTTCTCTCTGTGAAACTTACCTTTCCTTGTTTTTCTTTTTTTTTTGTATATTATTGTTTACAATAAATATACATTGCATTAAAAATGAAACTGCCCTATGGACTTATTTGCCCCTTTCCCTTGTTAAAAGGATGATTTGAAGAATTTGTACACAAAAGAGACTCTTCCCTATGCTGATCGCTGGGAGGGTTTTGGTTTTGATGTGCACTTTGAGAAATCCTAAAGTCAGCCCTGGGAAGACAGTGTCCTCAAAAACCCACACAGGAAAATCTTGTCAAGTGCCACCCCGTTAGGGGGTTAGGGGCACAATAAGAATTACATGTCAGTAGTTGCCCACTCAGGCAATTGTTTGTTGTGGTTTAGGGCAAAAGCTGTTCCCTTGTGGAAGTCAGAAGGGAACATGAGACCCGAACTCAGTAGCTTGTCAGAAGGCAGAATGCCAGAGGGGGTGACTTGCTTGTCTGAATTCAATAGTGCGAGTTTTCTGTTATTATGAGCACGTACCCTAAAATAGGGTGTCCATTTAAAAGACAAAGCAAGCCAAAGTGAAACACAGTTTCAGAAGGGGACCCCAGGGAAGTCTGTCCTATTAACCCATTAAATAACTCAGAGTTTATCTGCAGGGACCATGGAATGAGATTCTTTCTCTGTTCCCTCTAGTTTAACTCATTCTGAGAAGATGCAAAGCCATCGTAGAAGTAATAAGACCTAATCCTGTTTTCCTTGGCCCCAGTTAGATGGGAGTTTCCAGGATCAGAGAAACGTTCAGGTCATTTTTCATTAAACAGATGAAATCACTCCTTCCCTCCCACCCCCACACAGAGACACCCCACCCCCAACCCCAGCTGATTGGGAAAGTGTCTCTAAGGAGGCAGGTCTCCTCTCCAACCTCAGGCTGGTTTTACTGCTGGGCTCCTGGCTCTGACAGTCTTAACCAGCACCAAACTCTCTAGTATTACCTCACATTGTCTGTTTTTGCTTATTAGATTCCTGGCCGGCGTCCCACGCCAGGATCATGGCAACCAGGAAAATGGTAGTTATCAAATCGAGGCGACGTTAGTACTCTGGCCTCCTTGGCAAATTCCTTCACCAAACATTGATTGAGGGCCTGTGATCTGCTGGTGCTGCACAAACACCTCCCTGCCCCCTGCCCCTGCATCCCAGGTGTCAGCTTCTGCTGCTTGTTCGTGCCATAACATCCCATTCACTTGGGCCCCGAGCCTATCCTCCATTCTTACAAAATTGCTATTGCTTTCCCTTTGCCAACATTCACAAAGTCTGTTTTAACAGTCTCTGTTCAATTCTTATTCGCCCAAATCCCTTTGTCTATTAATATCAACACGTATCACCCTATCCTGATCACTCCTTCCCCTATCTGCATTGTTGGCGAGATTCTTCTCTCTACTCCTAGGAACACACTCTTTTCCTCCTTATGTGACCTTTGGCAGACCTTCTGAGAGCCAGAATATGCTGCTGAGACACAAACTTGCTGGGTGACCTAGAACAAGCTGCTTGCTTCCCTGTGCCTCGTCTTCCCCCTTTGGTAAGCATGTTTATAATCCCTCCCTCATGTCGCAGGGTTGTTATTAGAGCAGTTTCTGGCAAGAAGCAGTCTGAGAACTGACTACCTCTGAATCTCCCGGTCTGTACAAGATTCCTGGTGCTTTGGAATGGAGGGGAAATATTTGGGGTTTTCACAAGCTCCCCAATGGCTTCTGATGCACAGGAAAATGCAAGAGACACCTGAGTGCAGACAGCAAGCCCCCCCAATCCCCTCTCCTCCATCCACCAGATCTAGTCGAAACCCAGTATCACCAGATTATAAAATATTTTAGAGGAATTTTTACCTAAATCCCAAAATGCAGGGCTTATCACCCTGACAACAAGACACGTATTGAAAACCTTGCAAAGAGTCCTCCAGACCAGAAAAAGCTTATATTTAGAGCCAGGGTTATTTGCTTATTTGCACTCAAAATAAAACTTTTTAAAAAACTATTTTAACAACAAAGGGAATTTTTCACAAAAGGAAATTTTAAAAATCCCTTGGAATCAGTCTTGTGGGTTATTGTTAAAATGGTGCTTACGGGTTCGTGTGAGAAGTGGCCTTCCCAACCCAATTCCATCCCATCCCTTCCCATCCCTTCATTTCCAAAATAGATGTTTTTGAGGCACCACTGTGACCCTTTTTACATTAATTGGTGACTATTGTTATAGTCGGATATGGACTTACGATGATGCTAAAGATGCTTAAGCTTCAGGATTTGTCATTTGCACAGACTCCTTGTACTTAATCTCATATTTTTAAATGTACGTTCTTTTTTGTTGGAAGATCCCCTTCCTCCCCACCCTCCAAAAAACGATCAGCTTCAGGCCCCACAAAACCTGAGTCTGCCCATGACCATGGCCATGGGACAGCAAACCATGACATCAGAGGCTGCCAGCAAGATGCTTTCCCTTCTGTTCTCACCAGTCCTGGCAATTAGTAGGTGCTTAATAAATACCAACCTTTCATCATATCTGTGGACCAGAGGACAGGTTCACAGATGCATGGTTAGGAATCTCTACTGTAACATTCTACCACCTGTCCTTACACACTGCCCTTATCCCTCTGAGACTCAAATGATTTCTATTTCTCAGAAAATATTATCTCATGGACATAATAGAGGTTCAATGAAGTAACACCCACAGGAAATGTTAGGTATTACCTCTCCTACCTCATTTCTTCACATCCTCTTCCTACTCATTTCTTATTTCCTTGCTTAGACCTTCTATGCCCTGTGCTCTCCCAGGTTCTCCCAGTAACTCTGGCAGCCGAAAAACAGCTTGCTGGGCCCTAAATGGGCTGCTCCTTTTCCATCTTTCACAGACTAGAACTCTTTTACTCTGGACATCTGAAGACCAGGCAATGTCAGGTTTGCACTTATTCAAAGCAACCAGGCAAAAGTCAGGTAATATGTACATTACCTTGAAATGTCAAAATTTTATATTGAACTTATCCAATTACCATGACTTCATGTTGCCATATCCCACTTTAGGAAGATTTCTGCTCTTCATTCTCCCCACGAGCATTTGTAGAGCATCCCCTGCGGGTCAGGGTTCAGCAGTAAGCGAGCTGGACGTAGCCCCCCTGGCCTCGCAGGGCTTGCATTTCAGAAAGGGCAGGAAAAAAATTGTCCTCCTGATATTTTCTTGTTCACATGCTATGAAAACAATGCATCTGATTAGGGCTGGTTGGGAGGTGATTGCAGCCACCCAGGCCCCAGGTGATGGTGGCCGAGGGACAAGGCAGTTGATGGGTTTGGGTGAGAACTTTCTGACTCTTTTTTCTCTCCTAGTCCCCATCCATTTTTCAGTGACATGAAATTTACTCTGATCCAATTGACATAGAAGTGGCCCACTCTCTTTCACCTCAGTCAGTCCCTCCAGTCCACCTCATGAACCCTCTGTAAGTGTCTCTACCTCTTGGTGAAGCTCGAATTCCTGTATCTCACAATCCCCTTTTCGCCTGAGATCCCAGAGAAAAATCCAGTCCCTGGTACCCAAGAGGGTCTCTTGATCTTTCAAGACTTGGTGAATGCACTCCACAGGCTTATGGAATCAGAAATTTGGGAGGTAGGATGGGAGGTCTTTTAGTTTGGTTGTGTTCTCATTGCAAAAATCTTTTAAACATGTCAGCCATTGAATGCTCCTCAGTCTCTTTGAGAATGCTCACATTGGTTGAAACCCCCCTACTCCTATCATGAAGATCATTAATTGTGAGAAAATCTTATCTCTACCAGTTCCATCCAATGGTCCAGGGAGACCCACCCCCACTCCGATAAGATGTGAGTCTTGTCTTTCTTCCAAAAGGTAGCCCTTCACCCATTTGTACACTTTTCAAGTTTTCTTTTAGTCGCTTTCCCTTTGCTAAATATTTCCAATACGTTTTACATCTGATATGGTTCCCAAGCCCTTCCATAGCTTGCCTTCCTTTTTTTGAATGCACTTACTTATTAGCATTCCTCTCAAATTAGCATGTCCAGAATGATTTCCAGAACTCCACTTTTGGTTTGACTAATATGGAATACAAATAGATTCATCCCATGTGTAATCAGAAATTGTGCTTCTATACGTTTCAAATAAAATCACCCGCTTATGTTATGGTGAGAAATTTCTCACCTCGCATGTAATTGTGCAATAGATCTTTTGAACTTAATTACCAACTCTGACATTTACCTCTGTCTTGACTGGAGCGTGACATATACAGGCTCAATGGAAGGAAAGAGAGGAAAAGGGATTTACGTCATGGAGGCCTCACTGTGCCCGGCACTGTGACAGATGTTTTATATACATGATCTCATTTAATCCACTTAATAACCCTCAGAGACAGGTGTTATTATTACAGTTTTATTGAGAAGGAAACTGAGGCTCAGAGAGATTAAGCAATTAACCTAAGGTCGTGTAAACTAGCACATGGCATAGACAACTACTATCTACTCCCCTGCCCCACTATCTGCCACCGTCCATGCCCCAACCCAACCAAGTACTCAGTTTTCCAAAGAGAATATGAAATAGAGTTCATAATGGGGAAAGGAGAATAAAATATTATGTTACAAGGAAACTTTTTAAAGCAAAATCTGATCATAGAACACCCCCCCCATCCTGCCCCATTCAAAGCCTTTTGATGGCTACCTATTCACTTGGAACAAAATGCAAATTCTTCACCATAGGGTACTGTGCCCTACTCTAGGGGGTTGCAAACCATAACCCACAGACCAGTTCTGGCCCACCAACATTGTTGCAAATAAATTTTTAATAGAATACAGTCGTGGCTGTTGGCTTACTTGTGTATGCTGCTTCCCTGCTATGACACCAGAATTGAGTATGTGCAACAGAGATCGTGGCCTACAGAACCTGAAATATTTACTAGCTGGCATTCACCGAAAAGGTTGGCTGACCTTTTCCCTACACAGTCCAGCACTTGCCTATTCTCTCTCTTGCCATCACCTGCCTT